CAAACGTCTAATATTTGCCCAAATTGGATGGAATTTGGCACTTACGACCGAATTAAGTCTAGAAGCTAGTATGTCAAATTTGGTGAAGATCGGTTCAGATATAGCTATAGCTCCCATATATACTGTTCATCCGATTTGTTATTTTTGTCCTCCGCAGCCGGAATATGCACTCTGTAACAACAATATTTGGGGGAATATATCAAATACAGCTCAGAAATACCTTTGCTAAATTTTATCGAGATCGGTGCAGATTTGTATATAGCTCCCATATATAACTTCGTCCGATTTATCTTTGAAAGGTGCACCAAAGGTCTAATATTTGCCCAAATTGGATGAAATTTGGCACTTACGACCGAATTGAGTTTAGAAGCTAGTACGCCAAATTTGGTGAAGATCGGTTCAGATATAGCTATAGCTCCCATATATATTGTTCATCCGATTTTTTATTTTTGTCCTCCGCAGCCGCAATATGCACTCTGTAACAACAATATTTGAGGAAATATATCAAATGCAGCTCAGAAATATCTTTGCCAAATTTTATCGAGATCGGATATAGCCCCCATATATAACTTCGTCCGATTTACCTTTGATTGTGCACCAAACGTCTAATATTTGCCCAAATGCGATGGAATTTGGCACATACAACCAAATTGAGTCTAGAAGCTAGTATGTCAAATTTGGTGAAGATCGTTTCAGATATAGCTATAGCTGCCATATATACTGTTTATCCGATTTGTTATATTTGTTACCCACAGCCGTAATATGCACTCCGTAACAACGATATTCAGGGAAATATATCAAATATAGCTCAGAAATATCTGAGCCAAATTTTATCGAGATCGGCTCAGATTTGGATGTAGCTCCTATACATATATTTATCCGATTTCAAATTATTTGTGCACCAAATGGGCAATACAAGTCCGAATTTAAATGCTTCGGCATATTTAGTCCTTTGAATTTTAAATTATAATTATAATCATAGCGTGTATGATTGAATTCTTCCATAACATTTTTTAATTGTTGTGCGCAGCTCTACTAAATTAGCAAAGTGGTGTAGGAAATCATAAAGTGGGCCCCTCCCGACTTTAAGACTTTCTTTACTGTTTTTTTTTTTTTTTGAAATTTTAAAAATTAAATGGAAATCTTTTGGATAATCCTTTTTTTAAATCCATGTAAATACCTATATTCCAATCCATTTTCTGCAGACTTAATACCCAAAATATGCAGGTCATGCATGACAATCGATTAAATTTTTTTTTTGCACAAATCTCTTCAAACTCACCACCACAAATTTGCTTGAATTTTCAAAATCCCACATCAATAGGTTTGGCTTTCATTTGGCTAAAAATATTTCCTTCTAGTCCAAAAACTCAACAATGCAACATTAGAGTGGGCCGACTTATAGGGCGAGATGAAAAATCTGCTACCAACTTCACAGACTGCTATCATTTTCAAGCCACTCGTGGACGGACGGTCCCGGCTAACCTTTTTTTATCTAGAAATCCGGGATGAAGAACCGGATTTGTCTCGAAACCGTCTCAGTTCTACCTAACCGCCAATAGGAATAATTCGAAAGTCTACGAAAATGTGTGATTAAATCTAGAAGCGTTTTCTGGGACCGAATATTTTCTTAAACCCCCAAAAATTCGAAAAAGATCTTAAAATGAGAGTCCAAAATATATATCCCAAAGTATAGGGTGAGATGAAAAATCTGCAACCAACTTCACGGACTGCTATCATTTCCAAGCCACTTGTCCGACAGCTGTAAAAATTATTCCAGTGACAGCTCATTATTTTGTTTACAAAAGCATTTTGGTGAGAATTTTCCAGACAAAAAAGTTATTCCTGTTCGGAATTCAAGCGGGATAGTGTGATTTCTTTATATTTGGCGCGAGAACCACAAGTGGCTAACGTTAGAGCACTCCAGCATTTAAATGTGAATAAGTCTTTTGTGTCTCGTACCATCGCTCGTTACCTGGTGATACTGGTAGCGTAGCCCGACGAAGTCAAGGAAGTGGACGGAAGAAAACATCAACATCAGCAGAAATGGTTCGAAAAGTAAAGCGACGCGACATGATCGAAACCCGTGTCGCAGTGGCCGAAAAATGGCTCGTGAGCTGAACATATCGCAATATTCCATTCGGCAAATATTGATAAATGAGCTCGGGGTAAAGCCATTGAAATTCCAAAAAGTGCCAGAACTTACACCGCAGAAAGAGAAAGAAAATAGACTCAAAAGAGCTAAAGAGTTGCTTCGCTTGGCCGAAAGTGGTGAACTATCGAATTTGGTTTTCTCCGATGAGCTCCGATCAGAGAAAACATTCGTTGTCCAGCAGTTTGAAAACAAACAAAATAATCGTGTTTACCTGCCAAAGAGGTCAGGTCAGGTAAAAATGTGCACCTTCGGTTGGCCACCAGAACTCAAGCGCCGGCCATGGTGATGGTGTGGGCCGTGGGCTGTGGGCTGTGTGCCGCTCTCCGCTCGTATTAATCGACCGTGGCATCAGAATAAAGGCCGTGGGCTGTGGGCTGTGTGCCGCTCTCCGCTCGTATTAATCGACCGTGGCATCAGAATAAATGCCGAATATTATCGCCAAAAAATATTCTGGAGGGTGTATTAAAGCCATGGGCACGCAAACATTTTGGCCGCAGACCTTGGACATTCCAACAGGACTCAGCAGCTTCGCACTCAGCATTCAGCCACCCTAGAATGGTTACAAAATGAGGTTCCCCACTTCATTTCTAGCGCACACAATGGCCACCAAAATCTCCGGATACCAATCCATTGGACCATTGTGTCTGGAGTATTTTGGAAAGCAAGGTTGGCATTGAAAAAATACCAAAGTGTCGATCACCTCAAGCAAGCGTTTCGCCGGGAATGGGGCAAATTACCGCAGAGCAGCATTCGGGCTGCGTGTGACGGTTTCATTGGCCGTTTGAAGGCCATAATTCGTGCCAAAGGTGACCAATTCAAACAAATCGAAACTTATTCTAAAATTTGATGTTATTTCCGATATTTTTTGCTTTCATTCAAAAAAAAATTTAAAAAAAATTTAAAAATTATGGCGTTTAACTTGGTTGCAGTTTTTTTTTTATCTCACCCTGTAAATTCACCCAATCTTTGCAAAAATTTCCCAATTCACAAAAATTCATTTCCAATTTTGAGTTCGCCTCTAATATCTAATGAATAATCAGCAAATACCAGCCCTTGGGGCAATATCATTACAATGAATTGTTTGAACTTTATTTGAACTCCGTTCTGCCCAGCAACAAAAAAGGGATTATGTTTCAAAGGAAAAAAAAATAACAAATACAAAAACAAAAATGTGGAAGATAGAGAAACTATGATTGTTGCAACATCGATTGTCGAATAATGTAGACATTTCGAACAAAAAGGGGGTGTGAGTAACCCCTTGGTTTTCACTCATCCATCACCGAGACAGACAAAAATATCAGCAAACCAGACAATCACCACCACCATCACCATCATCACGTTTTGGTTTTTTTTTTTTTTTTGCAAATGCAATTTTTTCTAATTAATCTAAAAGGGTTCGCCTTTTGTCAATAAGTTCAAGGTTGGATTATTGATTTCCCTTTGTTGCCTTATTTTTGTTTCAAAAATTTCATTCACCAGCTGGCTCGGAGTACAGCTGATGGGGTTTATGTTAAAATTACCACTTTTCTACGTTTTACACCTGCGCAGTTTTCAAAATGCAAAAAACGAAACCCAAGCAAACAAAGATAGAATTTTAGCTTTTTCTCTTCAAAAAAAAAAAAAAAAAAAAAAAAAAAAAACGGGCAGCATATCTCATCTCAAATGAGAGCTGGTTACTAAACAAATTAAAAAAAAATAAATTAAAAAAAAAATAATTTAAAAAAAAAACAAGTAAAAAAACTGTAAGTTTGGCCTGACCGAACTTTAAATACCCTCCGTCATTTGGTACGAATTTGATAATTTTCCAAAAAAAAAAAAAAAATAAATAAATAAATAAATAGAAATCCGTTAAAAATTCTTTTAAAATCTTAAAAACGACGTGGTCCTGCATCATCAAAATACCAAATATAGGACTAGGAACCTGCACATAGGCTGTACTATCTATTACGAACTTCAAATACCAAATTTGAAACAATTCCGGTGAATAATGTCGCTAAAATCATCAAAATACCGAATATCGGGAGGTACCGTTATATGGGGGATATACGATATCGTGGACCTATATAGATTTAAACATTTTTTAATAAATTTTTTTAAATTTTTTTCTAGAGGACCATCAGAAGCCACAAACGTGGATTTTTTAAAGAATTTTTCTAGAGGACCATCAGAGCCACTAACGTGGATTTTTAAAAAAAATTTCTAGAGGATTATCAGTGCCTCTAACGTGGATTTTTTAAAGAATTTTTCTAAAAGTCTATCAGAGCCACAAACGTGCTTTTTGTAAAGAATTTTCCTAAAAGTCTATCAGAGCCACAAACGTGCTTTTTGTAAAGATTTTTTTTAGAGGACCATCAGAGCCACTACCGTGGATTTTTTAAATAATGTTTTTAGAGGACTATCAGTGCGTCAAACGTGGATTTTTTAAAGAATTTTTCTAAAAGTCTATCAAAGCCACAAACGTGGATTTTTTATAGAAATTTTCTAGAGGACTATTAGAGCCACTAACGTGGATTTTTTAAAGATTTTTTCTAGAGTAGTATCAGTGCCTCAAATGTGGATTTTTTAAAGATTTTTTCTAAAAGTCTATCAGAGCCACTAACGTGGATTTTTTATAGAAATTTTCTAGAGGACTATCAGAGCCACTAACGTGGATTTTTTAAAGATTTTTTCTAGAGTACTATCAGTCCCTTAAACGTGGATTTTTTAAAGAATTTTTCTAAAAGTCTATCAGAGCCACAAACGTGGATTTTTTAAAGAATTATTTCTAGAGGTCTATCAGAACCACAAACGTGTTTTTATTAAAGAATTTTTCAAAAAAAATAAAAAAAATATTTTTCCGTTCCAGCACCATGTGTGGACTTCCTGCGAAAGCAGTCCGAAACACTTGGCATGCCCCTGCGTGTCTTCTACCCTGTGAACAAAGATAATCCCATTGTGGTATCGTCATTGTCTGGCACGGACCCAAACCTACCAGCCATATTACTGAACTCCCATATGGATGTGGTGCCTGTGTTCCCTGAAAGTTGGAAACATGCACCATTCGGTGCCGAAATGGACGAGGAGGGAAGGATTTTTGCCCGCGGTGCTCAAGATATGAAATGTGTTGGCATGCAGTATTTGGGGGCGTTGCGTAAGCTCAAGGAGCGTGGAGTGAAATTCATGCGTACGATTCATGTGTCGTTTGTGGCGGGTAAGTGGAGGAGGTGGGGGAAGTATACTTCAGAAGAGGTTAATTTTTTCTAATTTCAATTTTAGATGAGGAAATGGGCGGCGGTCTGGGTATGCGTGAGTTTGTCAACACCAGCGAGTTTAAGTCGCTGAATATTGGCTTTTCCCTGGATGAGGGCTTGGCATCGCCCAGCGAAGATTCTCTTTCAATACCAAAAGTCCTGCAGACTAATATACATTTGAGTAAAATTTTATCAACCTACTTTATTTCATTCGGAAGCTAGAGTGATTTCCACAGACATGGCTAAATCGACATAGAATTTTATGCTGATCAAGAGGGTATGTATTTGATACCGTCAAAACTTGCTTCATCGAAATAATTAGATTTTAGATCCTATCCTCTTTGGTCCAATTCCGCTTCAGGACATTTGTATACTGCACAGAAATAGAAAGGATAATCCGATTTTGCTTCAACTTTGCAAATCCTAATAGTTGCATAAATGCTACGTCATCAAGTACCTCCCCCACAAAGGATAAATATTTTGAATAATTATAACTCTTATAGAATGTGATATAAATGTCCAATTGTCTTCAAATTACACACATCACAATATTTTTATTAACCCAAGGGCTGGTATGAAGATGGGATATATCGGTCCACTACTACTTTTACCTCCCCCACAATATTTTGAATACCCACGAAGCTCATAAAACACAAAATTAACATCCGATTCCATTCAGACTTGGCACATCACAATACTTCTATCAACACAAGATCTATTATAAGGATCGGACCATTCCTTCTGGTACCTCAACCCACAAAGGGTCAAAGTTATGAATAACCAAAACTATTATAAAATCAGAAATAAGCTTCCGGTTCTCTTCATATTTCACAAATCCCATTATTACTACAAACACAAGATCTGCTATGAAGATGGGATATATCAGTCCACTCCTTCTGATACCTCCCCCACAAAGGGTCAAAATTTTGAATATTCGTAAAGCTCATAAAACACGAAATTAACACCCGATTCCATATAGACTTGGCACATCTGAATATTTCTATCAACACAGGATCTACCTTCTGGTACTCCCCTACAGAAATTTTGAATATTCATGAAGTTCATAAAACACGAAATTTACATCCGACTTGGTACATCACAATATTTTCATTAACACAAGAATTGTTATAAAGTTGGTAAGATTCAGACCGTTTCTTCTGGTACTTCCCCCACAAAGGGTCAAAATTTTGAATAACCAAAACGAATATAAAATCCGAAATAAGCATTCGGTTCTCTTTATATTTTACACATCCCATTAATTCTACTAAGGAGAGATCTTCTGTAAAGATGGAATATATAGGTCCACCTCATCTAGTACCTCCCCTACAAAAGGTCGAAATTTTGTATATCCATTAAGCTCATAAAACGCAAAATTAACATTCTATTCGTTTCACTTGGTACATCTCAAAATTTTCATCAACACAAGATCTGTTATAAAAATGGTACAGATCGGACCATTTCTTATGGTACCTCCCCCACAAAGGATCAAAGTTTTGAATAACCAAAATGATTATAAATCCGAAATAAGAACCGTGTTTTGAGGCGTTGCTATTTTGTAGAGTTTAAATTCATATTTGATTGGCTGAGTGGAGTCATAAAAGATGGCGCCCAATGTGGGACTCAATTCGAATATCTAGTGTAAAATATCAGTCGGTAAGAACAGTATTCAAGGAAGATGTTTTTCGGATTTTTCATTTGGTTAATTACAAACTCCTCTTAAATAAGATGAATGGGGTTGAAACAGATGGCGCCCAATGTGGAGCTCGGCTTAATCTAAACGGACTCACTCAATGTGAACTCTTGTGTAGCATATCGATTCAACGACACTTGTTCATTATGCACTATAGGCCTATTATTGATGGCGCCCAACGTGGGACTTCCTTAATGGCTATTTTGTTCAGCCTGTTGCTTCCAGGATAATTGTTCTCTAATAATTGTTATGGGTATGTAATGGATGGCGCCCAACGTAGGATTCACTTAATGTAACTTTTGTTTCGCCTTCCAGGACAATTGTTCGCTATGCACAATGGGTTTGTAAAGGATCTCACCCAACGTAGGACTCAATCAATGGGAATTTCTGTTTAGCCCTCCGCTTTTAGGATAATTGTTCACTATGCTCTGAGAAACATATATGGAGGACTATAATCAAATTGAATAGCGTTCCTTATAAAATATATGTTATAATATCAGACAAATTTTCAAATCCAAAATATCACCATTTTTAAAAACTTCCTTCCATTCTGGAAAGATGTTTCATGTCTTTTTTTTTTTTTTTGTTAATTTCAAACTCTTGTTCAGATAATTGGATTTATAATGGTTGGCGCCCAACATCAAGATCCACTTAATGTAAATGGACTTATCTAATGAGAATTTTTGTTAAGCCTGTTGTTTGCCAGGATTATTGTTTTCTAAGAACTATGGGTTTGTAATGGATGGCGCCCAAAGAGAGACTCACTTAATGGGCATTTTTTTTTTAGCCTGTCGCTTTCAAAATAAATGTTCACTATGAACTGAAAAATATATCTGGAGGAATCCTGCAATCTGGAAATTCTCTAAATTTTTGTCACCTGACCTATTTATAGGTTATGATATTCTTCAGGATAATCAAGTGGAAATTTTTAAGGAAAGATTTACAGTTGCGATAATAGTTTGTCACCGAATATAAATAAAATCCTTGAAATGTCAAATTATCAGTTCTACAACGACTGGTGTCCCAGAAATTTCTTTAAAAATCATATCCAAATTACAATTTTTTGATAAAAAAATATTCCTTAAAATGTCAATTCCACAGAAACTTGAAATTTCAAGGAATTCCCAGAAATGTCTTGAAAAATAATTTCCAATTTGCAAAAATATTCCCTGAAATGTCCAATTGTCAATTCCACAACAATTTCAAATTTCAAGGATATCCCAGCAATTGCTTGAAGAATAATTTCCTATTTGCAATTTTTGTAATGACTGCCAGAACACAAAATTTCTCACGCATTATCCCTTTGCAAAATTGTCCCGAGACAATTTTCTACCTGGACTAATTTGCACAACCATGGCACAACAATAATAAATACTTTAACAAAATACTTACCCTGTTCTTAAGACAATAGATCGATCTGGGTGTTTGTAATGTGACAATGATATGCTCTATGATCTCCTTTTTCGATTTTATCGACCCATTTGATTTTTCATACAAAAGAACTGCAAATTTTCATTTTTCTCTCTACAGGAAAGGCCACTATTTGAAGTGTCTCCATTGTTTGCGATTTCTGCAGCTGCCATCAATTTTTCGCAATTTGGTAGGGTGAAATTTCTTATTTTATTTTCTAATTTTTTAAGGAGATCTGCCGTTATGGAAAAATTTAAAAAAAATCCTTCAAGTTTTAATTGAATATTTTGAACTGTATATCAAGGCTTCTTAGCTTAAAAAAGTAAATTCTTAAATATATATTGTCTGTTCCAGAACTGAAAGAATATAAAAGTTTTTACTACCATAGCCGTTTTTATAGCCTCCACCATAGTACGGAGGGTATATTAAGTTTATCATTCCGTTTGTAACACCTCGAAATATACATTTTAGACCCCACAAAGAATTTATATTCTTGATCAGCATAAAATTCTATGTCAATTTAGCGATGTCCGTCCGTCTGTGAAAATCACTTTAGCTTCCGAACAAATTAAAGTAGATTTATAAAATTTTACTAAAATGTATATAATGTCTGCAGGACTTTTGGTATTGAATTTGGGCCCTGCAGGTCCATGTTTTGATATACCGATATTCGGTATTTTTAAATGTTTGCTACAATATTCGTCGTCATTATTATTTTAAATTCGGTATTTGAAGTTCGAAATGGATGCTACAGCCTAAGACAGAAAATTGTCTGTGCAAGTTCACGTTTTCGTATAGCACCTATATAACGGTATCTCCCGATATTCGGTATTTTGATGATTTTAGCTACATTATTACCAATTTTTTTTAAGTGTCGCATTTGCATATTGCAATGGCTTATGACAAATGTTATCTATGCAGGTTCATGACCCTAATATTAGCTGTTGTATTCGGTATTTTTAAGATTTTAACAGAATTTTAACGGATTTTATTGTTTTTGAGAATTGCCGAATTCGTTCCAAATGGTGGAGCGTATTCAAAGTTCTGCCCGGCATAACTTACAGCTTTTTATTTGTTTCCTTTATGATATCGGACATAATTGAAAAAACTAGTATATTCTTGCTGGTTCTGGGACAGACCAAAAACTGATAGACTCTTGCAGGTTCTGGAACATCCCCATATATTTCCAGGTACCCACAAAGGGAAAGTACATAAGCAGCTTGAATCTTTGCATTGGATTATTTTTGACATATCAAAAAGGGATGCCAGAACCTCATTCAATTCTTGCCGTCATTTTTGCTTATTATTTGACGTTAATATGCCTAGCCATGATGTCAATCTGTTTATGTATCCACACTTTAAAAAATCTGTAATTTATGGGAAATTTTTTTCAAAAATCTCCAATGCCACAAATGTGAAGTTTTTGAGGAATACTTTCTCCAGGACCATTACAACAAAAAATAGAGGATTTTTGAAAACAGAATTTCAAAGGCCAAAAAGCTTAAAATATAATTTCTTAGAGGACCTATAGGTCCATAATTGTGTTTTATTTTATATTTTTTTCACGAAGGTTCATTTGAGACAACGAGGTGAATTTTTCCAAAATTTTCTCCCACGGACCAATAGAGACCATAAAAATCTGGATTTTTGGGGAAATCTTCCCAGGCACTAAAATAGCTTTCAAAGTGAACTCTTGCAAAAAAAAAAACATTTATTCCAGGACTAACAAAACCACAAATAGATGTCTTAAGAAACCAGAACATAAACGTGGACTTGGACTTGGACCGGAACATAAAAGTGGAATTTCCAAAAATAGTTTTTAAAGTGGCATTAGCGATTTTTTTCAAGGACTCGCAGAGTCAAGTAGCGTTGGTGTCTTAAGAATTTTACAAGGAATATTTTTTAAGGACAGTTTACGTGTTTTTTTTAAATTTGGTATACATTAATCAAGGACAAGGGAATCGCGTGTTTTTGAAGAATATATTTGGAGGACTTAGGGCCAGAGATGCGAATGTTTTGAAAAAATATTCCACCATGGACCAATAGAGACCAAAATGTTTCCTTAACAATTACACTGTGCGACAAATTTCAATTAAGGAACAAGTAGAAAAATGTCAGTCGGTTTGCCGACAGATATACCCTCAGTCAATATTCGATTATTTAAAAATATTTTGACTTCTGTTTTGATTATTCAAACTGCTTACCCTCTGTGTAGTAGGTTCCGAAGGAGTGGGGCAATATTGTCCATTTCGTATTGGATCTAAATAAATATGATAGGTTCGGATTATATTGAATACTTCCTTCACTTTATATGAGATATGTGATTCATTTTTAAAAAATATAGTGGACCGAAATATATTTCTTTCAAACTTCTTCTATAAATATTGATATGGGAACAAGTACAAGAAATTTCGAACATTTTGATCCAATTTTATGCGAAATTATAAATTCCATATGAATATATTTCTGGTTGATATAAATATTTAGATAAAGCAAGTTGTAAAGAATCGCTGACTTGTTTCGCAAGTTGTGAATGATAAAAGTATTGATAATTGTGAGCCTTTGTGGGAGAGGTACAAGAAGAGGTTCGCAGACAAATATTATCTTAACAACAGATCTTGTGTTAGCAAAAATGTTTGGATATGTTAAATTTGAAGGGAATCGGACGCTACTAGAAGGAGTCCGACGATACATCCCATCTTCACAGTAGATCTTGTGTTAGTAAAAATAATGGCATGTGAAAAATTCTAAGAGAAGAGGATGCTTCTTTTGGATTTTATGATCGTTTTGGTCATTCAAAATTTTTACCCTCTTTGGGGAGGGACCAGAAGAAGTGGTCCGATTTGTACCATCTTTACAACAGACCTTGTGTTGACAGAAATATTGAGATTTACCAAGTCTCAATGGAATCGGATGTTAACTTCGCATCTTATGTGCTTCATGGATATTGAAAATTTTGACCCTTTGTGGGGAGGTACCAGAAGGAGTGGACCGATACATCCCATTTTCATACCGGACCTTAGGTTAATAAAAATAGTGTGATGATTGTAATTCGAAGAGAAGAGGATGCTTATTTTGGATTTTATGATCGCTTTGGTCATTCAAAATCCGACCCTTTGGGAGGGGTGGGGGGGGGGGGGGGAAGTCCCAGAAGAAATGGTCCGATCACCACCATCTTTATACCCGATTTTGTATTGATGGAAATATTGAGATGTGCCAAGTCTAAATGGAATCGAATTTTAATTTCGCGTCTTACGAGATATTAAAAATTTTGGACCCTTTGTGGGGAGGTACCAGAACGAGTGGACCTATATATCCCATTTTCATACCGAACCTTGGGTTAATAAAAAATATTGTGATGATTGTAATTACAGAGAAAGGGATGCTTATTTTGGATTTTATGATCGTTTTGGTTATTCAAAATGTTGATCCTTTGTGGGGGAGGTACCAGAAGAAATGGTCCGATTTGTACCATCCTTATACCTGATCTTGTATTGATACATATATTGAGATGTGCCACGTCTGAATGGAATTGGATGTTAATTTCGTTAATTTTATGAGCTTCATAGATATTTTCGACCCTTTGTGGGGGAGGTACCCTTAGGTTAATAAAAATATTGTGATGATTGTAATTCGAAGAGAAGAGGATGTTTATTTTGGATTTTATGATCTTTTTGGTCATTCAAAATTCTGACCCTTTGTGGGGGAGGTCCTAGAAGGAATGGTCCGAACTTTTCCATATTAATACCTGATCTTGTGTTGATCGAAATATTGAGATGTATCAAGTCTGAATGGAATCGGATGTTAATTTCGCATTTTTGGAGCTTCATAGATATTCAAAATTTTGACTCTTTGTTGGGGAGGTACCAGAAGGAGTAGAGGATCTTCACACTAGACCTTGGGCTAATAAAAATATTGGGATGTGCGAAATTTGAAGACAATTGGACCCTTACATCACATTTTATAAAAGTTATAATTATTCCAAATTTTGATCCTCTGTGGTGGAGGGTACTTGATAGAGGCGATCGATTTTGCACCGAGGGGACCGATATTGTCAATTTTTGTACCAGACCTAGCACTGATGCAAATATTAGGATTTGCAAGTTGAAGCAAATCGAATTATCGTTTCTCTTTCTGTGCAGAAAATATATTATTTGAAAATTTCGACAATTTGTGGGGGAGGTACTAGAAGGAGTTAAGCGATGAAAATATTGAGATATGTGAGAAATTTGATAACAAAATTCAAAATTTTGACCCTTGTGGA